TTTTTTTTTGTATCATTTTAAAGTATCTAATTCCACATGGAAAATACAAATTTGAGCGAAATTGGTTGAATAGTGCATTAGTTCCTGAGAAATCTAGTTTTATAAGTACGACTTTTTTAAAATTTAATTTCTCAGGATTAATCGATTTCACTGAAATTTTGCATTTTGTCATGTTTAAAACTTACATTGTTTTGTAATCCTATTTATATGCGTACAAATAACTTGTTTTCATAAATATATTCGCTAATATAATACATAAATATCTAAAATGACGGCTGAAAGTTTTTGAAAGGGCCCACGCCAAAAATGTTTGCCCCAGGGCCCCGAGGGGTGAAGTTACGGCACTGTGTAACAACTGTAAGAAATAAAACTGAACAAAGAAACAAAGATATAATAATTTACCGAGGGTAAAAAAAAATATTTATTTTAAAATAATATTATTAAAGAATTGATGACTCAATATAAAAAGGTGCATTTCCACTTACGCACATCAAATATGTCAAAAATTTTAGAGGGGACGCGAAAAGGAAGTTATGATGTATTTCTAAGCTTTTCAGCATAAATATATATATACATATATTTACCAGACAGCAGCAGATTTGATCTGTTCAAATTATAACTGAACTTCAAATATTTATACATAAAAAAGATTCTTTATCTGTTTTATTGATAGCTGAAGGAAAAATTAAAATAATATTGAGTATGAAACTAAATTGTTGCTTTTCCCTGGTGCAAAATATAACTCTCTTCTAGTTTTAAAATCATTTGTTTTTCTAAGAATAGATACAGGGTTTAAAGGGAAGAAAACAAACCTAGTAGGTTTTATTCGGGTTTTTTAAGATATTACCTGGTTTAACACTTTTCAGATTAAAATTTTAATTCAAACAAGAACAATTTCAATAAAAAGAAAACTTTTATACAAAAATAATAATTAAGTTAATATTTAAACAAAAAAGTTTTAATTTTAATGTAGTACCATCTTTTCATGCTATGTATTAATAAAGTACTCTAAATTAAACTTTTCCTTGAATAAAAATAAAATCATAATATTAGGATCATAGAAATATGCTGTTTTCTATTTTATTTATTTATTATTAAAGCTAAGTGTATTAAACATAAGTTATAGCTTTATTATTTAATTATAGAATAAGCCTTTTGCAGGTCAACTAACTACAGAACTAGTGCTTATTTAACAGTTTTCTTAGAAGTTTTAGGAATTACTCTTTAAATTATGTTTTTATAGTTAGTTTGACTTGAAGATTCTAGAATCAATATATTTAAAATAAATATGAAAGCCCTTAAATCTATTTTTCTTTTATCTTATTCTTTATTAACATTTATAAAAAACCCATTTGAGTCAGTTTTTTATTAGGGGGGGGGGAGGTATGGGTGGATCAAAGACCCTGGAATAGAATCTAACTATTTTTAATTGGCATATTAATAAATGAATAAAGAATTCATATCTTCAATAGGGACCCAATTGTAGTAAAAGGGGACTCGGAAAACTATAGTTTCCACAGGCTGGTGGGATCACTCTGTACATACAACAAAAACCATTTTTTTAAAAAATAATCGAGCTTGGTTTTTTTTTAAAAGAAATAATATTTTAAGTCACTTAATTTTTTCTACATAAATAAAAATACTCTTAGCTTAAATGCAAGGAAATGAAAAAAGTAGTAAAATTTCCCATAAAAAACTTTTTTATTCTCAAATTTATTTACTAATGTGAGTCTGTTACTTCTAATAAATATATGGTTTAGTTAATTTCTAAATGCTAACGTATTACTCCCTTTCCTTAAAAATATATTTAGAAAATAAATGAATGTAAATAAATTGGAAGTGATATTACACCTAAATCTTTTTTTTTTATGAAAACTGGCCACGGTCAACTCCATGTTCTAATACGTTTGTTTAAAAATTACTTTAAAATTTATTAATTTAAATTACAGAACTATTAAAGAAATAAAGTTTTTAATCTTGTTATAACTATAGTATACAATCAAAAACATAAAATTGGAAAGAGGAGCTTCTTCAAAGTTTGTATATTTTATTTTCTTCAGTTTATTTTTAAAATTTTTTCTGTTATCAGCTTTGTACTGTATAAAAATACAGGGTAACAAAAAAATATAGGGATCATTTTTGAATGTTTTTATTTCCAAAATTTATTACATAAATTCAGCGATGTTTCTCAATATGTCGACCTCCGGCATAATAGATTTGTCTACAACGCTTCGGCCATGATTTTAAANATATTAAAAATCCTTTGGTTAACAGCTTTATAGAAAATAATCAAGGTTAGATAAAATATTCTAAAATGTGTGAAATTATAATAACAACTGACTGGCAAAAAACTTTTTTTTAATCATTTCTAAATAAAATTTTTAAAACAATCCCACTCAGGTTTTTTTTAAGCAGAAGGGTGAGGAAATATCCTTGATATTTACAAATATTGACAATTTTATCACAATATAGCCAAATATTTACAAATTAAAATTTTTTTTTGAACAATAAAGCGTATTGATAATACCTTGAAGACCTGCAGGTGGTGGAATCATTACCCCAGCAGGCTTCCCTACATTGGGAAACTGTGCAGATTGAATCTTCCCTGCTTTGAATGCAGCAGCTAGAAAACAAACATGACTTTATAAAATCAAAGCTATAATACAGAATTATGATTATGTGAGAAAATTTAAAACAGAACTATAAAGCAAGAGACATATTTTTGAGAACTAAACGTACTTGTAGCATCAATTAAATATTGAGCTTGGTCCTCCATCCATTTCTGATAATAAAACTTTACATTATCCCGATGCTTTCTCCCATTGCAGTGTGTTTTACGCACTGAAGGCTGAAAAAAAAAGTTAATATGAAAAGATATATATATAAAAAAAAAAACTCTATAATATTTTAATTATATTATCCTCAAAACATTTTAAAAACACAACTGAAAAAATATACACAAGCAGTGAACATTTGTAAATCATAGAGGCAATGAAAGAATAATTTTAATGTAGTACCATCTTTTCATGCGATGTATTAATAAAATACTCTTAATTAAACTATTCCTTGAATAAAAATAAAATCATAATATTAGGATCATAGAAATATGCTGTTTTCTGTTTTATTTATTTATTATTAAAGATAAGTATTTTAAACATAAGTTTTAGCTTTATTATTTAGTTACAGAATAAGCCTTTTGCAGGCCAACTAACTACAGAACTATTGCTTATTTAACAGTTTTCTTAGTAGTTTTAGGAATTACTCTTTAAATTATGTTTATATAGTTAGTTTGATTTGAAAATTCTAGAATTAATATATTTAAGATAAATATGAAAGCCCTTAAATCTATTTTTCTTTTATCTTATTCTTTATTAACATTTATAAAAAACCCATTTGAGTCAGTTTTTTATTTGGGGTGGGGTATAGGTGGATCAAAGACCCTGGAATAGAATCTAACAATTTTTAATGGACATATTAATAAATGATCAAAGAATTCATATCTTCAATAGGGACCCAATTGTAGTAAAAGGGGACTCAGAAAACTAAAGTTTCCAAAGGCTGGTGGGATCACTTTGTACATACAACAAAAACCATTTTTTTTTTTAAATAATCGAGCTTGGTTTTTTTTAAAAGAAATATTTTAAATCACTTAATTTTTTGTACATAAATGAAATAAATGTACATAAATGATTTTAGTTTAAATGCAAGGAAATGAAAAAAGTAGCAAAATTTCCCATAAAAAACTTTTTTATTCTCAAGTTTAATTACTAATGCGAGTCTGTTACTTCAAATAAATATATGTCTTGCGTAATTTCTAAATGCTAACGTATTACTCCTTTTCCATAAAAATATATTTAGAAAATAAATGAATGTGAATGAATGGAAAGTGACATTACACATAAATCTTTTTTTATTAAAACTGACCACGGCCAACCCCATGTTCTAATAGTTTTTTTAAAAATTACTTTAAAATTTATTAATTTAAATTACAGAACTATTAAAGAAATAAAGCTTTTATGTTTTTTAATCTTGTTACAAATATAGTATACAATCAAAAACATAAAATTGGAATGAGGAGCTTCTTCAAAGTTTGTATATTTTTTTTTTCTTCAGTTTATTTTTAAAATTTTTTCTGTTATCAGCTTTGTATTGTATAAAAATAGTATCAGTGATTTCACTAGACTTAGGAAATTATTGGCCCATAGGACCAGGATTCTTTTGCTTACAAAAAACATGACCTTATTTAAATTGCAAATGTTAACTTTTAAGATATACATAAAAATAAATATTTTATGATTAGGAAATAAAATTTTATTATTAATTGATTCAGTAATAATAAGGATTAAAACGAGAACATTTAAATCAATTAAACTCAAAATCTAATTTTCGCCTTCAGCTTCTAATACAAATTAAAAAAAGTTTAGTTTATACTGCTTACATAGAGCTGCAGTAACACCATTTTTTATTTTTTCAATAAATATTAAGCTTTCTGAGAATGTTCTTTAATTTTTTTGTGTCCTCCAAATAGTTTCCAGCATATTTAATGTGCCATAGCTCTTCAGCAGAATCACTGAGTAAGATTTTATTATTTTATTCAATGCTGCATTATTTGTAAAATCATTGTTATGCTTAAAGCTTATGACATAAACAGTTTGCTAGTGCTATCAGTGCATTTATATTGGTCGAAAAATCAACTGGAAGGATCCAGTTTTCCCACATTGATTTCCATATTGTTTCGGTTGTTTTCAGCATAAAATTAATAAAATCATAGTTCTGCTATAAATAATTTGTAACTGTAATCTAAAGGTACTTACCAGTACTACTTTTATTAAATTTTTCATTTTGAATGTTTTCTGTTTAAAACTAAGGGAACCATTTTTTAATAACATAATTCTATGCTACATTTTAAGATAAAGTTGTTTAAATTGATGCCAACTTATTAACTGTTACTTATTATTAACTGTTTTAAAATTATTAGTTTTTGCACAAATTACATTAATATACTATGATAAGTACATCCACAATGTGATGCATGCATAAATTGTATATAATATATCTATCAGTTTGGTAAGCCAAAATATTAAATGTTTCAATTGTTTACATTGACAATAGTTTAAAAAGCCTTCATTATACCTTACAGAGATTAATTACTTCAAATTTAGATCATTAAAGTTTATTTAACCCTTTGTTTTAAATAAAACAAACCATTTCTTAAATTTAGTTTTTTTCCAACCCCGATGTTTATAATTATTATTAAAATGTACTAATTTTTAATACTAATTTCAGTACTAATTTTTAATTGTGTAGCAAATGTATCTTTTCTGTTCTAATAATCTTAAATATAATTTACATCTTCTTCATATATATATGATATAATTTTAAATTTGTGATTGGAAAAATATTTCTTGCATATATACATGACCAATAACTTATAAAAATTTTCAAATTATATAGTGCTGGTATTGAAAATAAAAAGAAAATTATGCTTACTGAATCATGGGTCAGGTAGGTATCACAATAGTCACAATAATACCTAAAAAAAAAAGGAAACAAATACATTAAAATATAATTTGCACAAGTTCTTAATTTATTTCTTAATAACTTGGTTAAATTTCAATCATATTTGATAAGTTCTTTTGCTAAAAAATTCTCGACACCTGTTTCAGAATTTTCTAAAAACAATTTTATCGAAGTTAACCTAAAGAAATAATAAATAAACACAGCTCAAACAGCTAAAAAGTAAATATGAATAATCATTTTTGTCTAAACATCTATTATGAATAAATAGCAGAAGCAATATATACAATTTCAATTATCTCATGGATGTGTTCGAGCTATAATGATACAACAATTTTTTTTAGAATGTTCAATGTAAGAATCAACTCTCCATAGTTAATAACTGTAAGTACTCATAATTTAATTATCTTTATGGAATGAAAGCCTGGTTTAACCAGAGTTCATACTAGACTAGACAAGGCGCTAAGAAACTGAAATCGGCATGTCCTGATACGCCAACTACAATCGCCAAGGTGCCTAATTGATTTTGAACGGGAAAATTTTATTATTTTTTTAAAAACAAAACAGGTTTGCCCGGAGGAGGATACAAGTTATCCACTTTGAGTTTGCCCTTTTTCTGTGACATTTGTTTTTTAGTTTCTTGTGAGCCACTATCTGGGAGGGAGTTATCAAAGGGATTATTCTGCCACAAGTCACATTCGAAAATCTTAATAAGAGTATTATATTATATTCAAACTAATCATTAGTATGTACACTTATGAAACATTGTTGTTTCTATGGATAAGAACATATTTACTCTGTAATTTTTTATATACCCCCATTTCCTATACTTAATATCAGCGTTCTCCCTAAGCATTTTTAAAATAAAGGCCTGCACCACATTCCCTTCAATCCCTACAAATGCACTCTCCTTACCCTTTTTAGAAAAATAAACGGCCCTACCTTTAAAACCTCGCCCTTTAATTTTTTTTCCAGGAAAAGGTTGTTTGCTAAGCTTCAGGTTTCTTAAAATTGCACTTTTAAATGTTTTTCTTACAATTTTCTGTTCAAAATATCTTTCGTCTTGTTTATCAATTAATTTTTTTTCTAGTTAACTTTCTTTGATGAAAGTTCATATACAGAGATTGTCTTTTAGCTTGCCTCTTATTATTTATCAAGTTTCAATTATTTTGATAATGAGTAAGAATTACTTCGTGAAACATACACGCAAAATAGCTTAAGAGGGCAATTCAAATTGATAAAGCTAGAGATCAAATTCAGTAATTACATAATGTTACAGACACATTTTGATAAATTTTAAGGGTAGTAAGTGAGTGAGGGGCCTTTCAAAACTCCAAGAGCCTTTGTGAGGAAGAACGCTGTCCATTTTTATTCCTAGGGAGAACACTAAAATATAAACAGCAAATCAATTACAAGAAACCGGTAGTGGAAATAGTACCGAAAGATTTTGTTACAGTAAAATAAATTTGCAAATAAACAGCAATATCAAACACAAACTTACTTTGGCATTTTCTATCAAAAAATAATAGAAATGCAATAAATTCAAGCAGATTTAGAACGCAGCTTTAAAAATATATTGGTAGTAATAAGGCCACGAATTTCCTAACCAAATTTCGTCTATCACGAACCTCTGAAATCCAAACAAATTGAAAAAGTTGCCAATAATTTTTCTCTAATAAGATATTATATTTCTTTGAATAAATGCAGCAAGCTATATTGGCATTTGCTCGTAAGCAAAAAATATTTAACCGTATTCAGTGCAAAAATAAGCACCCGGAATCTGTTATCAAAAGTATAAACATGTTCCAATGGATTGATGAATTAGTATGTTTTACGATTTTTAATTTAATTTAATGATTAATGTTCAACTTTAATGTGTTTCAATTAATGAGAAAAACATACTTATTACATGTTAAAATCATATGCTTATCATGTTATTTTAAACTGATCTAGTTAATGTAAATACAATTTACACTAATTATTTATTTCAAAATAATATTTAATTTAAAATTAAATCTTATGTATTTGTATTGTATTTAAAAATATTAGTTTTGTGTTAACTAAAATTTTGTTTTTCGGTTCTCTCCTGATAAAAAAAAAATATGGTCTCTTCTTTTTGAATTAGGACAAAAATAACTAATAAGGTTTTAAAGACCAACATTTTTTGCAATAAATAGTTGATGTTAATATATTATGTAGTTGAAAAACGCTTGTATAATTCACCCATAGAATGTTGATTTGTTTATTCGCTTATTGTGTGCAATTTTACTTTATTCTTTATGCATTATTTAAAAAAAATGTGTTAAAGAATTGAGTATATTTATTATTATCAACATGAATATTTTTGTTTTGAAGGTTCCAGAGAGTAAAACATGTGAGCAATAGTGCTGTACATAGATTTAGCTTTCCGCCGCGCCTCTCACAAGATTTTTATGTGAGCCGTATCTTAGACTTACCACAAAAAATTTAAAATACAGTAGAGAACCAATTATCCGGGATGCTCAGGACCATCGCTATCCTGGATATCTGAATTTCCTGGTTTTCTGGATTGACCAAAAAGTGTCGTTAATCGATGTTTTATCGAACGTGAAGTACAAGGAAAAAGTGTAATGCATAAAGTAAGAGAAAAAAGAAAGATACTCCAAACTTTAAAAAGAAAAAAAAATGGTAGAAATATAACACTTAAAAGAAGAAAAAAAATTTCAAGTTTAGACAAGAAAATCAAGTTTAAAAAATACAAAATTCTCATATTTATTTTTTAAAAATAATTGTAATTCCTAGATTAAATAATATAAACAAAACCAATGATTAAATAACGCAATATATTTCATACCTAATTATACTGGGGGGGGGAACGATAAAATAAAAAGAAAANATCATGTTATTTTTAACTGATCTAGTTAATGTAAATACAATTTACACTAATTATTTATTTCAAAATAATATTTAATTTAAAATTTAATCTTATGTATTTGTATTGTATTTAAAAATATTAGTTTTGTGTTAACTAAAATTTTGTTTTTCGGTTCTCTCCTGATAAAAAAAAATATGGTCTCTTCTTTTTGAATTAGGACAAAAACAACTAATAAGGTTTTAAAGACCAACATTTTTTGCAATAAATAGTTGATGTTAATTTATTATGTAGTTGAAAAACGCTTGTATAATTCACCCATAGAATGTTGATTTGTTTATTCTCTTATTGTGTGCAATTTTACTTTATTCTTTATGCATTATTTAAAAAAAATGTGTAAAAGAATTGAGTATATTTATTATTATCAACATGAATATTTTTGTTTTGAAGGTTCCAGAGAGTAAAACATGTGAGCAATAGTGCTGTACATAGATTTAGCTTTCCGCCGCGCCTCTCACAAGATTTTTATGTGAGCCGTATCTTAGACTTACTACAAAAAATTTAAAATAATATAAAATAAAAGCACTATTGTTAAGAGATATTAAGATATTTATGATTATTAATTTCAATTTTTTTAAGATAATGTTATTTGTAATGGTGATGAAAAGTTTAAATTTAGAAAATGTTCTGAATTGAAACATTGTATATACTTACCGTATTGAAATGAAATTTATCTTAATAATAAAAGAAAAACAATACACTATTTTACAATAATTAAATTTAAAATCTCATTAAAAGTTATTAATTGTAAAAAAAATTAAAAAATATCTAATAAATTAAAAGCAAAAATATTTTTATTGAACTCAGGAATCTATTTTTTCTGGATCAAGTCCTCTCAAACCTCATGCCTCCCACACCAGTGTTGTTATTTACGTTGCTGGTAAGCAGTAGAAAAAGGAATACTCCCACCAGAAAGTTTAATTCCAGTTTATGTTAAATTAAGAGTTAAAAACAAATTTTTGAAATTGAATCTTATAAATTGTATTGGGAAAATCTCTGTTGCGATGTATTTTTTCACAATAACCACTAAGCTTTGGTGACTTCTGGGACATAGCATGTGAAAAACAATATATTACAGAAGGGGACCAACTTGAAAAGCATAAGTCGTAGCTACCTCCAGTTAAGCGACATATATTTAGTTTTCGCAAGTTAAGAACCCTTTTACTACTTGGTGAAAGTAGTAGGAGCAAACTGATACTGATGCAGAATTAACCTTATATTAATTAAATTGACAAAACTTTAATACAATTGGAAGGAAATACCAAAAATTATTCTAATATGATTCTATTTATGCATGTTGCAGTATGATCCTTGTGCCATTTAACTCTAACCTTAAAAGCTTACCAACTTTTAAAATGATAATTAAATTGGTTTTTGGAAATTTTATGGTAAATTCTTAAACAATATCTATTCATTTTGTTTTTGATAACTGCTCTTGATTTTGACAATATCAGTGTTCTCACTACAGAGCGAGAATCTCACATATTTTTTTCTTTTCTCACAATGAAGAATGATGCTGCGAGAAATTCGCGCATTCTATAAATCAATTTCAAAATTCACGAATTTCTCTCATTTTGGAGAAAGCTTCGAATTATGCCATTTAAAATCCGTTTCACTTTTCTTCCTATATCTTACTATTTTCAACATCTGCCCCGTTATCTAACTTCCCTATTTACCAGTATTGTTCAGAACCTTTTCAAACAACAGAACACAACCACAGAACCCCTTTCAGAACACATTTCTTTGTAACCACCTGTTTATCGTAGGTAAGGTTTCTTCAAGTAAGACATTCAAATTTTTTATGTGCTAATGTAAGATGGACAAATACCTTGTAAAGGCAAAATCTTCTTTGATAATGCACCAAAAATATTCAGTGCTTTAAAAAATAGAAGATGTTAAAAATGTATTATAATTAAAGAAATGATTTTTTTTTCAGGAGTTTTTGTGTTTTTTTAGTTTTCAGAAATCTCACTTAACTTTTTGAAATCTTACCCTGTTTTTAAGAAGGGGTGAGAAATTCTCACCCCTTTTTTTTCTATGATGAAAACACTGCTATATCGAAGCAATTGCATGTGAGAAAGTAAAACGAAAACATCAGAAAAAAGGCAAACTGAAATAGTTTGTATTTCCAATGTCATGTTTTGTAATAAAGGGGACAGGTAATCAACAAAAAATTATAAGTTTAACAATAAGTTTTTGACTGATGATGGTAAACTACATAATTTAAACATTTTACTACTGTATTTAGAAATAGGTTCCCTGTGAAATTGACTCTCTTACACACATTAATATTTTTTAGTAATTTCATTTGTTTCTTTCGGTTTAAAATTACCTAATAAAAACTCTTTATTTCTAGGGAAGCAAGTGCCATAATCTTTGAATAACTCTTGCCTTTTTCTCTTTCAAGTGAAGTATGTCTATTGAAGCCTCAAGAAATAAAGTAAAATTATTATTTAATCATTTTTATTTCCTTTCTGTTTTATGCATACAAAAATTTTTTATATCAAATTATCAATCATTCAACTAAGACTTTTATATGGTATTGCAGATATTTCTTTTCATTTACTTTTTTAATCATGTTTTGCTTTCCTCAATTTTACTTATGACAATTTTTATAATTCGCTTTTTATCTGATCTATTTTTAAATTTAGTTTATATGTCACTATTTGAAATCATTTTTATGCTAAAAATGCTTTTGACTAGTTAGATAATTAAAAAAAAAAAAAACTACATGAGAACTTATTCAAAAAAGTGGATGTGGTGACCTTGCCTACTACAACTCAACACTGCCAGCCCAGTGTCCCCTAGCAATGAGGAACACAAAAAACTAATGTTTTCTTTTCTCTTTTTGATTATTCTCCTAATTTTATATATATATATATACATATACCAATGCTCTGTCTCTGTTGTTATCGTTGCTTGTTCAACTATATTTATTAATATTCAAAACTGTTTATTATATAAATTTTATTAAAAGTTGCGTGTCTACTTATTTCTCTCAACAATCATACCTCCACAAACTGGTGACCTCGGATTTATTACGAATAGCAACTTGCAATGTTGCATGAATATGGAGTGTTTTCATGCCCATATTTCAGTTTAGACGTATCTTTACCGTATAAACTTCAAAAATGCTTTATACATTCTCCTTCATTTCTTAACCCTCTCACCTAAATTTCTATGCTTCTACATTGTTAGCTTAAAGTATGAGAGAAACTGGTTACGTTGAAGGAGCTTTTTTTTTTTTAATGTGTCCTTATATTTACACTATCAAGCATAATAAGTCTTGCAGTTCATTATATTTATTAAAGGTGCCTTCATAAAGGAAAAGACTGCAAGATGATGATGAAGATGATGAGTGCAGAAAATATAGATGCTACAAGTGATATAAAGCATTAAATCTAAAATTAGGTTCTTTAATTTAATTTTTTTAAGATTTCATATATTTTCTCTTTGAATGTTACAATTTTTTCTATCAATGTGCTCTGTTTCTGATAAAGTTGACAAAGATTTTTGCCCAATTATTTCTTTTTTTAAAATTCAGGTATTTGTGATTATTCAATGAATTGAAATTTAGGTATTCTTTGTTGCCTTTGTTCTATTCTGAAGTTAATTGAATTTTATTTTTAAAAAATGTTTCGAAATAGAAATTATTCAGTTTGTTTCATAAGATTTATTTGTTCATGCATAAATCATAGAAGAGATTTTGAAATGTAGTTTATTTCTTTTAGGTCAATGGTATTAACTCTGATGAAATGGAGGTTGATGAACCTGCACAGAAAATTGTACAATTCAATCCACTTCCTCAAAGAGTTCCTCGTTTAAACAGAAGAGGATTTTATATGTCATGTCGAGATAAGCAGGCCAAGTCTCTTTTAGAAAATGTTAATAGTCAGTAAGTACATTTTTTTGTGAAGAAATATGAATCAAATAAATTATGAAGATTGCATAATTATTTTATCATGTTAAGAAAGAATATAAAAGAAGCATGATAAAATGAAGGTTATTGTAAAATAATAAAAGGCTAGACTTTGGCTGATTAATGCCAAGGTTATGACATACATTGCAAATCTGACTAATGAATAGTATGAAAAAGAATCAAAGATTCAGCAAGTTATCTGCAGAAGTAGGTAATTTTGGGTAATAAGCAGCGAACCTTTATATTTACTTCTGATCCTGACAGTGTTTATGTTGTAATAAATTATTACACTCTTTTTGTTATTTTCTTCTTACTGAACCTTTAGAAAAACCTCAAAATTTATTATTTCTCGGTAAAAAAAAAAATTTAAATCCATACCTTTAAAATCTTGCATTCTTCTTCAAATTAGAAATCAGAATGTACTGGCTTAATCACAGACATAAGCAGGGTGCATAGCATTTTTAAAAAGTGCTTATTTTACTTTTTCTTTTTAAAAGCCCTTAGAGGTGCTTTTTTCATTGGGTGTTTTTAAAAAGTGCTTAATTTACTATTTTTTCAAAATGAGATTTTTCCTTTACCACATTGAATTTCACTTTGAATTATGCAAACAGACACAGTTCACATTGTTCTATTTAATGTTTTTACTGTTACTTCAACCCCAATCTGGTTCGGCGTATTGTCAGTCAAAATGAGTGGCGAATGAAAACGCCACTCATTTTGCATGATTCAAAATTTCATGACTTTTGACAATTGTCAAAAACAATGACAAAAGGTTTTTTGTTTGACATGCGGTTAAAACAAGATGAAACCGTCAATTGTCAAAAACTTTACAACCCTGCCTAATTCTGATATTTTTTTTTTAAAGTGCTTGAAAAGTGCTTATTTTTTGTTGAATAATTTGGCTCCGCACCCTGATAAGGTTTAATTTAAATTGTTCATACAGAGTGCAATGATACAGTTCATACGCTAGAAATGTCTAAAATTGTTAAAAGGATACAAAAAATATGCTCTGATACTTCCCCTCCTATGGGTAATTCTCCAGAGTGGAAAAGAATAATAAATAGAACACTAGCAGATTCATGTCGGTAAAATTGAAACTAAACTGTAAGTATGTTTATATCAAATTTCTTTTCCGTCTTTATTAATTGCTCAAGGAAATTAGAAAATACTGAGTTTTAAATTACATCGCTGCTTTTTATTGATGCAGGTGTTTCATCAATCCTAATAAAAGGTCATAATAATCCAAACATAACTCTGGTTGAAACGTAGCACTGTAAATGGTTAATAGATAAATGAAAACTAATCAATAGATAGAATATTTTTAGCTGAATTTGTGATAGATGAGATCTGTAAAGCTGAGTTAATTTGTTGATAAAATAAATATTCCACATTTTCAAATCAAATTTTGAAATTTATTGGTTTATTTTTTTAAAAGACTGATTATTGTAACTTTACTGTTGTCCAGTTTTAATAAATATTGTCATTTATAGCTTTAACTGATTTAAATTTGCAGTTAAATATGCTTGACATACCATTATTTATCATGCGTTATTTTGGGATAAAAAAAAATGCAAATATTTTTATACAAGCTCATTCTATTCAAAATAAGGCTTTTCAAATTGGCTCAATTCAAAAAAACTTCAAGAAATCAATAATTTTTAAAAAATATTTTCTCGTTATATACTGTTATTTTAGAGTTAGCTTTTGGTGTTATATACATGTTGACTATTATTTCCTATTTATATGTTTTTTTAAACAAGTTTTTAATCACGTAATATCTTACGCAAGCCCACTCTTTCCAAAAAAAGGCTTTTCAAATAGTCTCATTCAATAAAAACTTTTAGAAATGAATAATTTGTTAAACTATTTCCTCATTATATACTGTCATTTTAGAGTTAGCTTTTGGTGTTATATCCTTTTTGACTTTTATTTGTTATTTATATGTTTTTGAAGCGAATCAAGTTTTTAGTCAGGTAATATCTTACTGCTTCAGTTTCTTGGGATTATTTATTTAATACTTGATTGCTATTTCATGTGTTTCTCTTTTAATTATTATCCTTTTTTTTTTATATAGAAAAGACGCAGTGTCGAGTACTTCAATTAAGTCTAAGGCAGCTAATCAAGAAAAAATTTCAACACCTTTAAGCAATAGAATAATCAAGCTAAATATTTCAAAGAAAAGTCCCAACAGTGAGACTGAAAAGTGTCTTAAAAGAAATGGTAATGATCAGCAAACAAATAGTGTAAGTAATAATACTTTTTTTTAGCTCTTTGTTTCTCACCATTATTATTTGATTTTTAGAAAGTCTCACTAAAAGAACTGATATTTTTAGTTATTTTCACACTAATATTGTAAATAGATAGGACAACTATTTTCATTTATAAACATTTAATTAAGTGTGTGTATGTTTTTCTTAATTATATGAAAAGTTTTTAGTTTTATAACTTTGTTTGGTTACTCCAATATCAAAAGGGTACCTTTGTTATCCTCTTTCAGACACTTTTGCTTGAAAGAGATAAATCATATCTTATAATCTGTATTAGAATTAATTCAATAGCATAAATTCAAGTTTTTTTTTTTTTTTTTTTTTTNTTTCTATTTTTTTTTTTTTTTTTTTTAATTTATGCACTGAATGGGTGTATTTTAAAAATTATTTTGGAAATTGTAAGAACAAAGGAAAAGGGAGGCTAAATTTTAGTTTTAACTTTATCAAGAACAATTGGCTGGTATAAAATATATTTGTATCTCTAGCTTTATCAATTGCTAGATTTGTATCTCTAGCTTTATCAAATATTTTCCAGTGGTAGTTTATTAATGTATGATTCTTGGTTTAAAAAGTTCAATTTATTAGGTTTTTATCCACCACTATTTCTAAATAATTCGAAAGGTTATATGATTCGCCACTTTGTGTTACTTTAGATGTGCTATGCGGTCTAAAAAATAAAGCAAAATTAGACAATTATTTGCAAATTTTAGTTTGCAGTTGTTTACCCTTTTTTAAATAATTATGGCTCGTCTGGAGCAGTTGGCATGTCTGCTATGATTGAGTTTAAAATCCCATATTAACTAGTTAACCTTGTAAAAATGACCCTCAAAGATGTCAAATGTGGAATAAAATTTATGTTAGAACTATGCAGCTTTATTTTTTTTGATTTCTTATATTTTATTTCTGTGCTTCTTTTTTTTTTAATTTTCGAACTGAATGGGTATATTTTAAAAATTATTTTGGAAACTGTAAGAACAAAGGAAAAAGGAGACTAAATTTTAGTTTAAACTTTATCAAGAACAATTGACTGGTATGAAATATAATTGTATCTCTAGCTTTATCAATTGCTTGTCGATGCTATGATTGAGTTTAAAATCCCATATTAACTAGTTAACCTTGTAAAAATGACCCTCAAAGATGTAAAATGTGGAATAAAATTTATGTTGGAACTATCGAACCATTTTTACACGCAGAGAAATTTAAAACGAGATCCTCTCTCTTGCATGCTATTTAACATTACATTGAAAAAAAGCAATTAGAGATGCCACTATAAATACTAGAGGTACAATTATCCAAAAATCTGTATAAATATGGGCTTATGCAGATGATATTAATTTCATAAGACATACCAAACAGGCTGTCTAAGAAGCTTTTACTAGGCTTAAAGCTTCTGCTAAAACATTAGGTTTTATTATTAATCAGGGTAAAACAAATTTGTGACTATCATTAATCGGAATTTTGAGGTTTTACCCGTGACTAATGATTAGGTATCAGTCAGCTCTTATACCTGAGAAAAATTCTTACAGTTAATAATGATATTGAAACAGAAATTAATAACAGGATAATGATGGCTAATAGGTGTTATTTCATTTTGAGAAACCAACTGAAATCAAAGCTTTATTTCATTAAAAATAAAATTAATTTATATAATAATTTAATTAAATCTGTATTACTTTATGGCAGCGAATGCCGGCCCCAGGGACAGAATTTTTTCGAGCTATCTGCAGCGAAACTCTCTAGCACTAATATCTTTCTGCAAGATACTTTTAATGATAACAAACATATATGTTACTAATTTAAAATAACAAAAGCACTGTGTTTACAAAAAAATTTTTTTTTATTTTCTTTAATTGAATATGTAATAATTTTTTATTCTAATATTATGAATGGTATTGTTGCATTTTGTTGGGAGGGAATCCACACAAATTATTTCCTTCTTCGCATTTTGTAAATAATCATCACCATACAAAAATATTTAAAAATCATGAAATCCTTTGTCAAAAAAGAAGATTGAAGACGAAATCACCCAAATCGGACTATTCAAAGAGGGGTTACTCAAATTTCGCGTTTCGTTTCGAGATTAGGTTGGCGTAATAAAAAATATTGGATTTAAAAACCGTGGAGAAATTAATAGCAATAACTGCCAAAAATTTCATAGAATTATTGCCTTAAATGGCAAATACTCTAATAATACTACTACTGCATGATTCGAATTTTCTATATTGTTTGAAATATATCGGGATATTTAAAACCCATGTGAAAATCAATAACTATCAAAATTACCATCGAAACACTGCATTGATTTGGGATATTATTGGCGTAAATTGAGTGCATCGCAAAGTGATTATCTAAATGCATGATTTGAATATTAGGTGTAAATTTCTCTAGAAAAGAATACTAAAAATTTAACTTTTCAAAGGAAAATCTATCTGCAAGATCTCTGTAACCTTCTGCAACAATGTCGCCATGTTGCTGCGATGCTGGCCTTTAAATAAAACTTAGAACAATAAACTACTAATGTTTAAAAGAAAAATACCCCTTTTCGGAGCTGTTAAAGAAAACAGTTATTGTCAGATTCAATACATATAATTATGAATTATACAGAAAATTTAAGTAACATAATATTATTTCAGTTATTAAATCCTATAGAATAAGATGGTTGGGTCACATCTATAGAAAAGATGAAAACAACTTGGTTAAGAAGCTGACTTTTGGAAAGTTCACTGGAAATTGAAAAAGGGGTAAACCAAACGCCAGATGATTGATTCTGTGAATAAAACATCTTAAAACCATGGGAATTGATAAATAGAGGAACGTTGTGTTTGATCCAGTCACATGGAAACAACTAGTTGGGACAGCTCTGCCCTCTACTAGGCTGTCATGCTGATGGAAGAAGAAGCTTTTCTTTTTCCATCGACCAAAAATTATTCATTATTGGTGGAAATAATCAGGATTTTTCAATTATTATTAAGAACTTGGGAGTAATTAGTGATAACTAAAATTTTTTGAACTTAAGTGATAAACAGATTTTCCTGTCATATATACCATAAAGATATTTGGTTTCTTTATGACAGTGAACCAGTGTGTTACCATCTCCTGACTTCCACTGCTTGTACAGAAAAAAGCTTTTTTTATTTCAATTATTCATAGTAGGGAAGTGAAATATAAAATGTGGTTATCACTTTCTCTATCTTCTCTCTGTGTAACATCAACTATTGCTAAATTCAGAGATGAGTTTTTTCTGCCTTTAGGCAAAATTCTGCTTTTATTTTTTCGATTAATAGAATAGATAAATTCCTCCTTTTCAAAGAGATTCCACTTTTTTGAAACCCCATGAAAAGGATTAGTTATTTAGTTTTTCTTACCTATGCAAACCGAAGTTAAATGTACACATTGTGACTTCTATTCGTCTAATTGATAATCGCACATTACAGTTCATATTTGTGATTTAAAAATCACACATTGAAATTAAATTGAGAATCACAAAATTGAAAAAAATGTGGATCAATATCTTTTATCAAAACGTTGATGATATTCTATGAAAATATGCTTCCTATATACATTTTTCTCTCTCGATTACCTACCATGTATTTTGCACATTGTATTTTGGGGTTTCTGCTTTCAGCTTTTTTATTAAACTCCTCCCTGTTAATAGAACTATGGTTATTTCTTTATATAATTGCTGACTGTGTAAATTATTAATGTTATTATTAAATTATTCTTTTTAGGAATGTGCTCAAAAACCTCCACCAAAAAAGAAACATAAACCTATTACTTGGCCATGAAAGATCTGTATCATATAAAAGTCATTGTAAAAATGTCTTAATTGTTTAGTTTTAAATTATTAATGTTTTTGTTTGTGTGGTATCAAATGAATAAGTTTAACCTTTTGCGGCCGGTTTAAATTTATACATAATTGTTATACCTGCCAGAATTCATTTCTGTTAGATAAATATAATATGCAGGATAATAAAAGAAAGTCATTCTTCATTTTGAAATTTATAAATCTCCAAAGCCTATAGGCATAAGTGAAAAGTATTGTTCAATACTGAAAGATCTGCATGTTTTTTTTTATTTAGGAGGCTTAAAGAAGATGTACAATTGGAACATCTGCTTTAACAGGGTGCATAGCATTTTTAAAAAGTGCTTAAAGGTGCTTATTTTTGATTTTTAAAAGCCCTTAAAAGTGCTTTTTTTCATTGGGTGTTTTTAAAAAGTGCTTAATTTACCCTTTTTCAAAATTAGATTTTTCCTTTACTATGTTAATTATCCCTTCGAATTATGCAAAAAGACACTGTTCACATTGTTCTATTTAACATTTTCACAATTAATTCAACCACAATCTATTTCGACGTATTGTCAGTCCGTAACGTATGAAAACACCATTTGTTTTACATGATTCAAAATTTCATGATTTTTGACAATTGTCAAAAGCAATGCCAAAAGTTTTTTTTTTCTTTACATGACGGTTAAAACAAGATAAAACCGTCAATTTTCAAGAACTTTCCAACCCTACCTAATTATGATATTTTTTAAAGTGCTTAAAAATATTTTTTGAGTGCTTAAAAGGTGCTTATTTTTTGTTGAATAATTTGACTATGTACACTGTTTAAGCCCCTTCTAAAAGCTTTAATTGCTGAGAGTAGACATAATGACTGCAAAGTGTTAAATGATGTATAAAGTGTGTCTTTGAATTACAAATGTTGCAAAATGTGTGACTGTTAAATTTTTAACTTGTATTTTAAAGTTGTGACAAACTTATGTATTGTACAGTTTTAGCAATATTCACATCATTAATAAGATTTGTGTAACTTTTTCATGCAATAACTTGATTAATCAAAAATTATTTTAATATTATAATAATAATATTAATAAGAAGTTAATTCATGCTTTTTTTATAATTAGTTTATTAACAAGGTTTACAATTTTTATATTTTATACTTTTGAGTTTTAAAAACTCATCATTCTGTTTGAAAAACGTAGCTGAGCAAAATATAGACATAATGTAAAAAGTATTTTGAAAGTGCATAGCATTGTTAATAATTACGCTTTTTTTTTCTATTGAAAATTTTAGACATTTTCGGATAATAATTATATAATGAATTCAACTTTTGAAAAGTTATTGAAAATAATATCATAACTTGACTGATTTTTATTTCTGATTTCTGTGACAGTTAATAAAATGATTTTTTTATTTTTTAGTTTTTTATTTCCTTTATGTATATGTTAGTCTCCACCCTTCCATTAATTAAGTAACCAACCTTTTTAAGACAAAATTTATCTGTAACCTAGTCCAATTCATTTAATTATTCTTTCTTCAATAAATTCTGCTTTGGAGAAGAAAAAAATTAAAGACAGATGAAATAGTCAAATTTAAAAGAGCGGTTTATTTTACTTTTAATAGTAAATAAAGTTTTCAATTTTTAAAAATTGAGATTTATGGCAGTTAAAATATTGTATAATATTATATATATATAAATTTTTAAAAACTTTTGTATCAACGTTCTTTTAATTTTAAAACTATGTCACCATTGCATTTAATTTTTTCCTGATACTGTTGATTTCATGTCATATCTTGCTTTCTTATAACTTCTCTCATCCACCTTTAAGGCAAGGTCAATAAAACTGGGAAACAATCTCTTTTTCTTTCTGTATCATGAGATTTTCAAATTGATCTTAAACATTTTCATATTGCTGATTTCAAATCTATAATTGGTTTTTCTCTAAAAGGTAAGCATTTAGTAATATATTTTTTCTTTCCCTTGAGTTAATAATAAGCGTCCCCACTTCGCTGCTATGTATGGAGTAGTAGAAAGAAGGCCATAATACATTTCAGTTTATGATGTGATATTTTAAGGTGATATATATTTTTTCTCTTAATTGTTATTTTCAACGAAGCAGTGAAATAAAAATAGTTTCTTATAAACTTGTACTTCCAGAAAAAATATAAACTGAATTGAAAATATTATTTTTAATCTCTACAATTATCTGTAGCTTTCCACATACAAAGCTAACTCCAGATTTAAAATTCCCACACCCGTATTAGGTAAGATCGAGTATTTGTATAAATGCAAATATTTGCACTCTAATATAATTAATGGAATGTTTTGTTTATTTTAATCCCGGTTTCAGATTTATCATTTTACGAATGACTGAGCAACATTTTATAACATCTGAATTCAGTAATTAATGTGATTTTTTAAAATCTAAAATGTATGATTAAATATTTTGATGTTAGTAAGGATTAACTATTTTGAAGTTTTATGTTCTTCATAGTTATAAAAACATGTAAAAATTAATTTTTTATGTCATGTTCAATGTCAGGAAAACTAATTTTTCTTTCAACTTCAATTATATATAAATGTCTTTCATTATCAATTAATGGTAAAATATTTTTACCTTAATTTATTAATTATCATAAAAGTTTTTGTAATAATTTTAACACATTTTACATACATACTTTTTTTTTATTCTATGTCTCTTATAGTGTTTAGATTTTAATCCTATAAATAATGATGTTTTTTTTTTTTAAATTTCCAAATCAGTAAGCAGTTTTCTCTTTTGCCTTAAATAATAATTTTAAAACCAATATTTTTATTTTAGAATATTTTGAAAAACTGATACTTTTTAAATCATTTCTAAATATGTCTTTTTAACAACAAGCTAATCATGCAGTAATTCAGGAAATTATTTTTTATCTGTATATACTGAGTGTAAAGCAAGGAAAAAAGATATCTAAAAATTATTGGATTGATGTCAGGATTTTAATTTCTAAAATATCGATTTCAAGTGCTTAGAGTTTTCAAAGTCCTAAAAGTAATTAAAGAAACTTATACAGGATTATACAGAAAAATTTATTCAGAAAAAATAAATTTAAAATCTCAGTATTTGGTATAGGTTTAAACAATTTAAATAACTGAGTGCAAAATTGTAAAAAAGAAAAAATCTTCACTTAGAATCATTTTAACAAAAAAGAAGAAACCAATTTTTGTTTTAGAAAAGCATTCAAGTTAAGGTTTTAATAAATGATTGGAAATTTACAGAACTGTGTATAACTTCAATGTAAAATTCTTAGATTTGGCTTGCACATAAACCATTTCTAAAAATTTAAATTGTTATGTCAATTTCAGGTGATAGGGGTTAATGTTCTTTGGTTACAAAATGTGTTCCACTCATTAAAAAAGTCTTTCTTTTATTAAATTGCGTTATTTTTTTTAAATGCTATTGCAGAAGGACAACTTGAAAATATTCTTCAACTCCTGATTTCAAGTGTTTCCTGAATAAATTTCAGTCAATTGTGATAGAGGGATGAAATTGTGGAGGGGAATGTATAGAAATTTTAAATTGGCAAAAATTTAATAATTTTTTTATTTTTGAAAAAAACTTTAGTCTAAGTACAGGATGTAATAAATTGGAAATAATGATTTTGGTTAAATATTTCTTGAGTTTAAAGTTTGCATGATGAATGAATTAGTGTTAAGAAATAGTAGTAATTTACAAAGGTTTTCTTCGATTTGAAGTTCACTCGTACATTTTAAATTTCATCCCTCAAAATTTATATGAAATTGATTTTTAAACAAATTATTATTATTTTTGTTGATAACATTGGTCAGGGTACTTTTGCTGTTCCTAATAAATAGTTCGAAAGATCTACCCTTTTTTACATTTAATCAGCAAAATATCTATATAAAATGGTTGTTGAAATCAGAAAATTGAATAACTTAATTAGGCATTCTTAAATTGAGAAGTATTAATGTAACTTCCAGGATTATAATAACCAGAATAAATTTTTATAGTGTTTTTTATTAATATTTGAAAATTTAATACTTTTTATTGTAAATTATGTAGTCACTATCAGTAACTATGTCACTACAAATAACAATTACCATGAAAACATTTAACATGCAAACATTTAACATGCAAACATTTTTATTAGTGTAACAATTCTGTTATTTTATTAATTAAAGCTATATATTTGTTAAATTTTAAAACAATTCTGTTGTTCTCATATAAGTCTATTTAATATGTTTTTACAATATATTGTGCATTTGTCTTCCCCTTTTTTTCCACAAGACTTCTAAATTCTTCGCCATATTTATGCATTTCAAGTATAGTGCGGCTTTGAGGAGAACTCCCCCAGACTAAAAGTCTGTGGCTGTCTGCTACTATGGTAACAAGCGAGGGCACATTTCTAATGGGGGTGATATGTAGGAAAGAAGGTGTCGATTGGTTTACTTACGACGACTTATGTCGAGATTAAAGACAAAACTATTCACCCTACACCCCTATTCAAAGTTTCCTTTCCTCGTAACCATAGTACCCGCCACGACGCGAGACGGGTGTCTGGAGTAGTTCTCCTGAAAGCCGCTCTATACTTCATCATCATGATGTTTCATATTGTAGTAGACAGCCATAATCTGTGTTAAATTTTAATTTTCGTAATAAAGGTTTTTTACAGTTTTGTTTCGTTATTAATATAATTCTATTTAAATAAAGAATTTTCTGTTGTCTTATTGATAGTGAATGTTTGTGAAATTCACTTAACTGAGACAGTGGCACATTAACTCATAGTATTAAAACAATTATCTTGTTGATTTTGAGAAACTTCCCAATAAAGTTTTATTTGGATAAATTTCCAGAATGATCAATATATTCTACAACTTATAAAAATCTCTATCATGAACTAAGTTGAGTTTATACATCTTCAGATATCCCCTTTAAAAGTATTTATTTTAAAACATGCTTTTTATGCTGTGGCAAGTTTTTTATTGTAACAAAAATAAATTTCAGCTTTAGGGCTCCAATAGAACTAATGAGACTTGGACATAAATATAGATTTAAAGGCCCACAGTGGGACAAAAATCTATTTTTTGCAATCGAAAATGGGAAAAATTGAGTATTTTTAAAGAGTTACATTTAAAATGATTTTTTTTAATAATAAAATATCTGAGGAATATGATTGTGAACTTCATTTTGTTGTTAGTACAATAAAATTCAGATCAAGTTAATCTAAAAGAATTTTGGATTGATTTTTATTTAATTAATTCATAATTTTTTTTTAATAATTAATATTATTGCCAAACCAACAAATACTAATTTTTTTGTTGTTATTTTTAATGTAAATATGTAAAATAATTTCATTCGGTCAGAGCTATGTAGGGCTTTTTTTGTTGCCCTTCCAAAAAATACAACTGGGATGAGGAAGACTCATGATAT